GATCTCAATACTGTTACGGCGTCCCCGGGAAGCGACGCGCTCCACGGTCGTCTGGTGCCCGGAATGTCAAATATGGAAGCCAGTACCCTACATTCACGACACAGCTTGAACATCGGTTGCTGAAATGTGCGGACATTGCTTGATGCCGAAAGTAAAACACTGCAAGCACGCGCGTTGTGGGACTATAAGATAGACGTTGCCTGTCTGTCAGAAGTTCGTCTCCCCGACTCTGGAACGAGAGAAATCAAGGTCCCACAAGGGGATGCTGAGTACGTGCTCCGCCATGGTGGACCACAAAAGAACACAGGGCTGCATGGGGTGGCAATAGCCATGACAAAGCAGGTGCATAACACTCTCTTAGCGTTTTAGCCTATCTCAGCGCGGACTACCACAGTCCGCTTCAAAGGCACCATAGAAAATATGTCTGTGGTTGCCGTTTATGGCCCAACATCACAAGCGGATGAAACAGTTAAGACTGAGTTCTAAGAACGCCTTCAAGCTACAGTGGCCAGGATTCCCCCTAGAGACTTGCTCTTCGTCGCCGGAGATTGGAATGCCAGGATTGGCCCGTGCAATGAAACCACTAGACACATAATTGGAAAATACGGACTGGGCCAACGTTGCAACAACGGAGAACGATTGATAACATTTGCTGATTATAGTCATCTTGTCGTTACAAACACTCGTTTGCAACACCCCCATCGGCAGTTGCTAACATGGTATTCAAACGATGGTCGAACGGCAAACCAGATAGACTACACCTTAGTACGCTCAAGGTGGGCCACCTCAGTATCCCACAGCTGATCGTTTCGGGGTGCGGAAGTTGGATCAGATCATTTTCTTGTCCGTGCCCACCTTAAGCTCCGCTTGTCGAATAACCTGCCCACCCTCTATTCGGGGCTGAGACATAGCTTGCCTAAAGTTATTAGGCACTCGAGGAGCGCGCACAGGTGAACAGCGTTATCAACGTCAATTAGGGTGAGTCAGATGGCCGAGTAATCACCACGCCAACACGACGGGGGACTTTTCAGCGATTGCTGAGGGAGAAGATTAACGAAGCAAATGCCGGCCATCAAGCAACTATCGCACCAGAGGACAACCAACCTGGGTGAGGGGGGGAGCCGTTAATGGTCATAGGTATGCGGCGGCATAGCGGCTAAATCTTGTAAATACTGCATGATTTACACGTACCTGATGATGTTTTCGAATATGAAGCCGAAACGTCAGACTAATTAAGTTCTTCTTTCAGTGATCGAGCCTACTTCTTGACAATAGTTTGTATAGGTTTTCTTCACTTTAAACCCTGC